GTATGTGTGCAGAGGCTTGCTCTGGCCATGACTCTTGAGAAAATATCTGGGGATTTGATGGAACCTCAGGCTCAGCATGAATTAACATCATGACATGACAGACCTCCTATCCCACAAAAGGCTAGTGTAATCTGAGGACACTCCTGGTGGATTCTGTTTCAGTTAGTCCACCTTTGAACATGGTGTTGAGTTGTTTGTGCCACATTGTATAAAGGACATTGGCCATCTAGAGCTTGTTCAGAGGACAGTGACCAGGATGGGCAAGGGGTGTGGAAGTTGTGCCATATGAGAATCCATTGAAAGAACCTGGGATGTTTAGTCTAGAAGAGAAGACATGGAGGGGGTCATGATGTGATGGCTGTCTTCAAGTATATGAAAAATTAGACTTATTCTTTTTGGTCCTGGAGGATAGGATGGTGGCAGAGAGGTGAATGAGACTCCTGGTAAGGAATAATTTCTTAATGGATAAGCAAATCTAGAGATAGAAAAGTGTGTGGGGAAGGGAATACTGTATGCAGAGTGAGCTGCATGGCAGGGTAACAGTGAGGGTGAGTCATAGGCAGGAGTCTAGCTCAAAGTAGGGGGCTTTCACCAATAAGGACAGTATGGCCACAGAATGGAAGTTCCAGTAGCAATTTGGACATGGTAAGAGTCCATGTGAAATAGAATGTGTCAAACTGACAAACCCACTAGTTACATGTTGTATGCCCTCAGTAGAAAGTAAGCTCTTTGAGGGCAGCGATCATTTTTCATTTCATGTTTGTATCTCAAGCACCTAGCATAATAGCTTGCAAATAGTGATAGTAAATGTTCTTCAGGTTGTATTGGATAAAAGATCAAAGGCAAATTTAACTAAGATCTCTTATCATACAGGATGGTAAAAGAGCAGCGTCCAGAAGCAATCAGTCCAAAACCAAAGAGATATACTGAGAGAGAATCACAGGAGTCTTCTGGCTTCTCTGGACTAGAAATGCAGAGAGCATAACATCTCAAGCAGCAAAGGACAAGAATCCAGGAAGGACCATGGACAATATAAAGATTAAGAAGCGCCAATGTTAAGGTCCTTATTAAATTTAAGTCTGAGATTCAAGGGATGTCTTCACAACATCCTGACCTACACAGATGTCCCAGCTCAGAGTATATCAAAAGTAGATGGAAGGCTAGGAAAAAGAGAAAACTCTAAGTTTTCAGTTCCCTAAAAAAATATTTTAAACAGGTGGAAAAGATCTGTTCCTCCCTAGACAATTCTTGATATGGCCAAAAAGGGTGGTTTGCATTGATACAAAGCTGGTCCTAAAGGAGTCATCTTAAGGTAAAGTAATGTAATTTATTACATTGCTACATCGCCAAGAGGAATCTTAAGTTAGGTTTTAAAATGGCAGCTTTCTTCCCTGAGAGTTATCTGTTGCTCAGAAGGCTCTGGGTTGCAGGAATTAAATTAATTATTGACACTATTAATTAATTACATTACTAATTAAGTATTAATAAACATTCTATCCCTCTTGACATTAAGTTTCAAAACATCACACTGTTTCTCTAATGGGAATCTACTGGCTAACTAAAAGTTCCTGTGATAGAAGAATGACCAAGCAAGCCTAGCTTTCATGAGCACAGACTGTTTGCTTGGTTGATGAATTCCCCATGTGGAATAGGCTGGGGTAGCCTGCTTCCAGAAAGACTGGAAGATTAGTAATGAAAGAGCCCCATTCCACAATTCCAAGCCTGCACAGATATCGTTCCCAGTCTGCTTACCATGTGAATAACAGGAGTGTTTTGCAGGATAGCCCAGTCAGAATTTCAAATGCTAACAGAATTCACTGAAGAGGATTTCAGCCTGGCAGGTGTTGGAGTAAGTAGGTCTTTAAGCCTCTAGGTGGGGAGAGTAGCCTCAGGCCTTTATCTTCTGGTCCAGGCTACTGCCATGTGGCCTGTGAGTGCATGGCCCGGAAGTTTCTGTTTCTATTATGTCTGATCTCTCCTACTTTTAGGTAATCAGACTAGACTGCAACCTGGTAAACTTTGAAAGGTTGGAATATCCAGCTACCAGAAGTCCAGGAGCCATAGTTAAGTGTATAATGATCTAGGTCTTCTTCCCAGTGGAGGAAGATGAGCCTACAAAAGAGGCCCAATTTCCCCCAGCCTTATGCAGCCATGCTTACGGGCATAGAGGAAGGACTTCGCTGGGGTATGAGCACTTCTGAACCTGGCCCCTAACCTCCTGAGAGACTTTCCCATCATCCTTGAGATGGACCTTCTGTGTTGTCTTCTCCATTAAGCTCTTGATCATAGGTGGCTGACCCAACTATTGGATGACAATAGGTTAGTTCCTGTGGTGAGAAGGAACTGAACGTCTGGAAAGATTACAGCATGTTGTATGGTGTGAAAAGACTGTGCTGATAAGCCTGGAAGACTGGGGCTGGCCTCTTGGGAAACAGCAGTGGACAGACCCACCCTGGGGGCCAGCAATCAAAGAGGGTCATGCTGTCTGTCAGCAAGTCACCAAGACTTGGCAGAAAGAGGGTTTCAAAGTCCATGAGAAGCTGCAGAGCTGAAAATAGCAGCTTTGCTTCAAACGAAGCAGCTGTCTTCACTTAACCCGTAGCCCTGCAGGGTTCCAGGAAAGACTGACGTTTCTTGATTTAGACTTTTCATATTTCCACAGAGGAACACAACCAGCAGCTTACAATGGCTAGACTAGGACATAATTCAACATTCAAATCCATTCAACAAACATTTCCTAGATGCCTCCCATATGCAAGGTTAAATGCAAATATGCATTGGTCCTGGGAGCCAAAAGCCTAGCCACTGAATAGAGTGTCACTACTAACCATGCAGATAGCCACTTTGATGCCACATTTGGCCACATTCTACCAGATTGTAATATATACCACTCCAGAACAATCAAAGAAAAGAACAAAATTGAATCAAAATTAGCTCATTATTTTGGCTATGGGAAAAGTGAGTATGGTGCAATGGAAAGAGAAGACTGGGTTCAAATCTGCCTTAGCCACTTATTCTCTGGGTGACCTTGGGCAAATTTAACCCCTCCGGGTCTCAGTTTACTCCCATATATAATGGTATTGGACTACAGATGGCTTCTAAGATCACTTCCAATGCTAATTCTATGATTCTCCAAGTGTTTCATGCCAAACTCAGATTCTTCATACATAAAATGAGGGAGTTGGTTTAGAGTTCTTTTAAGTTCTAAAAATGCTATGATGGAGGGCAACATTGACAGACCTTTGGGAAGGCCTGAATGGTTGGAGATGGGCTAATAGGACCAGACATCTTTCTAGACAGAGTGGGTACTCACCTGTAAGGTGTGATTTCCCCTTCTTTGCCCTCCAATCCCCAAATTTCCAACCATTAGATTAATTCTTTTGTGTTCAGAGGATCAAAGAATTTAGGGTTGTAAGGAGCCTTGATATTATGTAGTCCAACTCTCTCATTTTACAGATGAGCAAACTGAGGCCTAGAGAGTTTTTATTTTCAAAAAATACTGTTAGTAAAGTCCAACATCTCCTTTGGTAAGCATTACCTTCTTCTGCAAGCAGTTCATGCAAGTTCTTCACCTTTTTTCTTCCTTAATTGGGAGGAGTATGAGCTAAAAGGGAGGCTCTGTGGGGGATCTAGACCAAAGGTGGAGAGATCTTGGGGAGGTTAGAATGAAGACCTCTCTAAATATTCCCCAGCCCATTATATCTGCCAAGAAAACCCCAAAAAGGGGCCATGAGGAGTGAGACATGACTGAAACGACTAAACAACAAAAATGTCGAAGCCCTCACGCTGAACCGTAAGCTTTTCTGTGACTGCAGCCTCTAATCAAGGGACTAGGAGGGAAAGATTTCTTTCGATTCTCAAGGCTTGGAAGAAAGGCTGGGGAAAATGGCCACCAGGTGGCAGCAAATAAGCAGTCCTTTAGCTAGTCATGCCTCCATTAAATGAATACTGTCCAAGGTGCTGCAAAATGTTTGTTCTCTACCTCATAGAAGCAGCAGTAGTCTGTGTGTCTCTAGGTTACCAGGGTTCTCAAATTATGTTTACTGGTCTCCTGATTTGTGTGCATATATTTACAACAATTCTCCTAGTGAGAATTAGATACCCCTTCCCCCGTCATGTGGGAACAGGTGGGAAAGGCAAGGCCTTCCCTCCCCCTGAATAGAAGAATCAATTACAGCTAGACCTTCCACATAGCAGGGATTAGGGGCCCGGAGTCTGAACAATCTGGAAAATTCATGTGACTGAACAAAGTAAACCTCAAGGAGGTAGCATTAGCACTTACTTTTTCGTTTTGCTAAACATTTCATATCTAATTGACGAGCTACACAATATGTTAGAGTCAGCCTGGCATTATGACTATATTGTAGGGCTTACTGTGAAGAGAGACTTAAGGTCAGATGACCCTAGGTACCTACCTTAACCCTTTGGTGCCTAAGGAATTCCTTAAGAACTTACCCACTAAGTCATGGATGTCTCTCTATCTGCATTAGAAGTGTCTCTCCCTCTCCCTCTTTTTAATTAGAAAAAAATCTTAAGGGATTTGTAGTGTCACTCCTCCATTTAGGTTCTGCATTGATTATAGATCAGTTTTAGCCCTACTGTACCAAAAACTCTCCTAAAAGCCTTTTGGTCAACCTGATTTTTAGGGCAAGGGGGAACTCTAAATAGCAAGCCCGTATCTTTTTTTTTTTTTTTTACTTTTTCCTGAAGCAAGTATCTATCACATGAACTTTATTCAAAACATTTCCAACCTGACAGGCCCAGCCTAGGGAACAAAGGGTCACCTACATCATGATAAAACATCAAAGGGGGAGACCTTTAGTTCCTGTAACACGGTGGGGAAAGTTGCTGGACCTGGTATCACAAGAAGAGCAGTTAGGTGTCAGACCTGCTGTTGCTGTTTGGTGGTTAGATGACCTTTGGCATTCTATCCCACCTTTATGAATCTTGGTTCTGTTCTAACTGTTTAACAGCAACAGATGTTCACTCTGAATAACTGTTCAGTTGTTTCAGATATCTGAAAGTTTAGGTGAGCTGCTATTATGAAGGTCACTGGATGTATGAGGGTGTTTGTATTAAGGGTTTATTTGCCCTGAAGAGAAATCTCAGAGGTAAGGCTTGAGAAACTTTTTTCAGAGCATTTTTCAGATAAAATTGAACAAATATTTTTATATCCATCAAGGGAAAGATGAGTAAGTCACAAAGCATAAGAACTCATTTACCTTCAATAGGGGAGCATAACTGTAACAACAAAATACTGCTTGTGTGTTTATTTAAATTGATCCAGATTTAACTGAAGGTAAGTTCTATCTAAAAGAGCAGAAATGGTTAATTAGACAATGTTTGAAAGAAGGTGACTTTCTCAGTTGAGATTACTTACCGACTTCCACACAGTGTTGTCTAGAAAGGGCAACTTTCTAGACAACTATCAGTGTATTTTAATATATATGCAAGAAGGTAATTTTCATTTGGTAATGAAAGACAAGAGATGGATTAGGATGATCTGAAACATTGTTAATCGTTGCCTTTTTTATGTCAAAGGGATCTTATTTGAGCCAACATACTCCATGTATTTGAATGATGATTCAAACATTTTTGTTTCCCCTCTTCCCCCCCCCAATATATCACCTCCTTGTTTTCAACAATAACCAAAGATGATACCAGTCCTCCAAAAGACAAAGGCACATGAAGAAAAGGCATTCCAAACATCATGGGGAAAACATTTGAGAAAAAGCCAACTGCTGTTGGAACCTTTGGTGTCAGGCTGGATGACTGTCCCCCGGGTCACACCAATCAGGTAGGAGACAAAAGCCTTGCTTGTTCCGTAATAGTCCAAAGCATCTGTAATCTCATCAGTATGGGTGTCCTCCTCTAGTGATACGGAGAACAATCCATGATGGTTGTCCATGTCCTTCCATAAATTGGGCCCTGGCAGTGGTGTGCATCCATGACGGGGCTTTACTTTCTTTCTCTTGACATTTTGTACCTGCCACTGGAGACACAAGGTATCCATTGGTAATCCTTTGCCCTCACTTCTGTGACCATCTCATCTTTTTGTATGTGTAATATTTTTTCTATGACATTCTTGTTTTTGTTTTGTTTTTTCCTGAGGCAATTGGGGTTAAGTGACTTGCCCAGGGTCACAGCTAGTAAGTGTCTGGGGCCAGATTTGGACTCAGGTCCTCCTGACTCCAAGGCTGAAGCTCTATCCACTGTACCACCTAGCTGCCCTGATTCCATGACATTCTTAATGTGTGCATAATTTCCGTTCTGTAATGTGTAACCTCCTTGTGCCCAAAATACACTTCTCTATTGACCTTTGGATGTTCCTTAACTTGGAAGCTTGGGGTTGGTCAAAAAGGGTTTTGCAGTTTTCCAAGAGCAATCCAGCTGCTCTCATCCTCCTCTTCATCTCTGGACCCAGATATAGGTACCATTGGACAGATTCAGTAGGTGTCCCTTCAGACACATGTTGGCATCTGGGCATCCATTTGGTCTTCCTTGCACAGATGATCAGGCCAAACTCCTTTGAGGGATTGCAAATCTCTTCCAGGAGGCTCTGCAATGTCTTGTGGCTTGAGGCAATGAACAGGATGTCATCTGCAAACAGGAGCATGTGTGGAACCTCAGCATCCACAGCAGGTTCCTTTTAGCCTTAGACTCTACACTGGACTTCCTCAATTTACTGGCACATATTTACTGTTTTATGCCTCACTGGATGCTTCTTATCAGAGGGTGATTAAATAAAATGATTTAAGCTGTCAATAAAATAAAATGAGGATGGTGTCTGGGTGGGATACACCTTGTTGGAAAAGAGTCTGTAAGACAGCATTTTGCTTTAATGAGTCAAATGTTTTTTCATAATTAATAAGCATTATGTTTGTTAATTGGATCTTATCTTCTCTATCAATTTCAGTTAATTTTGAGATGTGCTCCATTGTCAGATATCATTTGTAAAAACTCTCATGTTGCTTAATACCTTTCATCAGAGTGAGATTTTGTCTATATCGTTGATAACTTCCCATTCTTTAAATACCTTAAAAATCATCACTCGACATCCTTAGAAGTTGATACCATCTCCATGAACATCCACTATTAATGACATAGTTGTCCCAGTAGGACTGCTTTTCCTTTCTTTGTTCTCATTAAAGCCATTTCTACTTCTTCTGTATCTTGGAGATTGTGACGTTAAGGTCCAGGTGGGGTGATCCCAGTGTCCTTGATGGATGAAATAGTTAATTGCAATATGTTTTAGATTGGTTTTCCCTTCTATTGACTCTCCTTTGTTTTACAAGACAAAGCTGGTAATACTGATCTGCCATCCTTTTTTTAAAAAAGATTTTACAAGTGAGTTTATACTCTAACTTGGTGTTGCCTTGAGGAGAAATCTTTCAACATTTGGCTATCAAGGCAGATGTTAGTTGATTAAGAGAAGTTTCTGCCAAGCTCTGTCATTTACCTTGATTTAATTTCTGCATGAAATTATTGTCTTTGGAGTTGATGTTAATGTTGACATCAAAAATATGAGATTTTATTTCAGGGAATAACCTGAAGTTATTAAAAACTGTCCAGTTTTCCAGAGGCAATCCAGCCTGCTCTGCTTCTGCTCAATTCTGGGGTCAGCTCATTGTCCTCTTAGAATATCTAAGATCAATGTACTGATAGGCTAGTTCTCCAGGTTGACCATCCAAATGCATATTGCAGTCTACCAGTAGACATTCCACTTCTTTGACTTACTTCTTCTTGTATGGAGTATTAGGCCTATTTTTTGGATAGAGTAGAGATCTCACTTAGGAGGTTCTACATACATACAGTCAGCTCAGTGCCATCTTTGGACAAGAGCATCTGTAGGACCTCACCATCAATACCACCACTTTCTTTTTTGCCACTTCATGGCAATGCTGAACTCCTCTAGCAAGCACACATCTGTCTGTTTTATACTTCCCTTGAAATTACTAATCAAAAGTTGAACAAAGTTATCCCTGAGAAATCTTTCACGGAGTCCTGGATGATTTTGACGCAGATGTGGGAAACGACATTAGAAAAGATAGTTAGTCAAAAGGTTTTTATTGTTGTTGTTCCACCTTTATACTCAAGGGGGCCAATGACATCCCAGTGTTGGTGTCAAGAGACAGTGTATTCGACTGTGGCTCATCAGTCCAATATGGGTTTGGAAGGCTCTACCACAGGTTGGGAACAACCAGTCCATTTGAACATTTGGGGTGGAGATATCTCTAAACGCACACATGTCATGTTTCCCTTCTGCTCCTGCATTTCTGCTTGGCTCATGGAGAGCCTATTGCCATGCTGGATGCGGGCATACCAGGCTGGGCAGTCCTGTGCCAACATCTCCCATGTCTCACAATTGATACTCAAGTTCTTCTGAGAAACCTTGAGAGTGTCCTTGTACTGCTTCTTCTAACCTGTGCGTGAGCACTTGCCTTGTGGTAGTTCTCCATAAAATAGTCTTTCCAGCAAACATATGGTAGGCATTCACACAATGTGGCCAGCCCATGGGAGTTGTGCTCTCTACAGTAGGATTTGAATGCTTGGCAGGTCAGGTTGAGAGACGACATCAGTTGCTGGGTACCTTATCTTGCCAGGTGATCTTCAGAATCTTCCTAAGACAATTCAAATGGAAACAGTTTGGATAGTCAAGAAGCAGCAGAATACTGTATTCACTACCCTTTTTAACCATTAGTTACCATAAAGACAGATTAAGTTAAAGACAATATGATTTCTGGAAGCCTGCCTGTTCTTTTCTGAAACTTTCATTAGGGTTGCGCTCCGTATAGATGTATACTAACTTTGTATCCCAAAATTGAAGTTTGATGTCCTACGAGCATCTGTTCACTCAAGCCAGAGCGACATCCCTAATTCAATCTCTGAAAGTCCTGTTCTTCCTCCAAGCCTCATTTGAGCAGCTACCTCTCTCCATTAAACCCTGCCCCTGTCCCTCCCTGTCCCCTGTTAGTCTCTGCCCTCAACAAGACAAGTTTAGAAAACAGCTGGCAGGCCAGTATCTTTTTTGAGACATTAAATCAATGTGCATTTTGTAAAACAAAAGCCTAATGAAGACAGTATGTGTTTAATTTGCTTGATTAAAATATGTGTTTGGGAGAGGTGTGTAAAAAGCTAGATTTCAAGTCTGAAGTAAAGTTGACCTTCTTTAAGAGCAATTTGCATTCCCATACTCTGTTCATGAGCTAATTGCCTGACTTCTAGTGTTCTTTCCTCAGCCAAATTTACCCAGTCATTTGACAGTCATCAGAACAACCATATTTGGTACTTGAAGACTTACAAAGCTTTACAATAACAACCCTGTGAAAAAGACACTGCAGTCATCATTAGATCCTTTTCATGGAAACTGGGTCTTGGCAGAGGGAAGTCATTGGCCCACCATTCTCACAGCAATAAATGCTGAAGGCAGGATTCTGAAGCTAAGTCTTCCAGACTCCCACACAAGTACTCTATCAGATAACTCTTTCCCCTCTTACATCCTCATTTCCATCTCAGCAGTCCAAATATGTTTAACTCAGTTACAACTGAACTCACTATTCTTTTGATTCTCCACATGACCTAAAGAGCTAATCTTTTTTTTGAGAAATATATTTTATGTAGAGATAAAAAATAGCTTAGTATGATCATTTGAGGCCTCTAAAAATAAGAATTGTCTCTTTTCTTTTGTAGTATAATGTAGTATATTCCACTAATAGCTGACATATGCTGCAAATTAGTTGAAGAAAGAGGACTTGACCATACAGGAATTTACAGAGTTCCTGGAAATAATGCTGCTATCTCAAGAATGCAAGAGGAATTCAACAAAGGAATGGCTGATATTGATATACAGGATGATGTAAGTTCATTCATTCATTTTCATATTTCACCATGTTATGGTGACTGTGACGTATTACATATTTCCTTCTGAATACCTAGAAATGGCGAGACTTGAATGTCAGTAGTCTGCTGAAATCATTCTTCAGAAAACTCCCTGAGCCTCTCTTCACAAATGGTAAGTTATCTTCTCTAAACCCAGTTGAATGAACACCTAAGTTTTAATTTAAAGAAAATTAAAGTGGAAGTAAAGTTCTGTGGTAGTAAACTGGGGTTTTTGGGGGTAAATTTTGCTATTTAGAATCCATGAAAACAAGTTTATTGCCATTCAGCCAAACTACATTGTTGGGCCCCTCCTTATTTCTGGCTCAGAATAACATTTCTTACTCTCCCCAGACAGAATTTTTAAACATGTTAGTATACATTACCTTTATTTACATGTTTTTAGTAAATCAACAAATCTCTGCTGAGCATGTCACACACACATATTGATAAAACTATACATATGGATATAACTGATCTTGTGGTCGGTATTGAGGGCAGGAAAAGGAGAGGAATGGTAAAGCCAAAGCCTCTGCTTTCATGGAACTTTGGCACTATAGAAAAAAACAAGGTAGGTAAATAAAGAATTCTAGAAATATTCTTTAACATTTTGAATCAAAACTTTATGGTCTATGTAACAAAATCCAAAGTAGACTTCTAATGAAAAGGAATGGGTACGAATTTGTCTAGCTGGCTTAATCACCAAGTAGGTCCCCAGATCTAGAAACAGCAGAAAGAAAGGGCACAGATGTAAACTAGTTCTGATGGTTCAGATATTTTTCTTCCTACTCCTTAGATATGTCTGTCTTTCTCATCTCCTGGCCTTCACACAGCTCATAATTGCCGGGTCAGTATGATAGGAGTGGGAAAGATTAACAGAAAGAATTGTGTGGTGATGGATGACTTTGAACCTTTAAAAACATAATAGTTTAAAAAGAGTTTCCAGGGGCAGCTTGGTGGCACAGTGGATAGATCTCTGGCCTTGGAGTCAGGAGGATCTGAGTTCCAGTGCAACCTCAGACACTTGACACTTCCTAGCTGTGTGACCCTGGGCAAGTCACTTAACCCTTTTACCTCACCAAAAGCAAAAACAAACCAAAAACAAGAAATTAACAAAAAAACCTTTCCAACACAGGGAATGCTGTGGTATGCTCCAGGCCCCCGTTTATGTAAACCTCACAGTTTAGTTTCCTTTCTGCCTCTGGTATCTGCCAGGAAAAAAAAAAAGATCCTTAGCTTCTCCCAGCACTTCTTTCCCTTTTTTTCTTGGCTGGCCTACCCTTGATATGCTTCTTTCTCATTTAGTAGTATACATTGCAGCAGTTTGCATCTTTGGTGCATGAAGATTTCTTGGTGGTAAGAGAACTTGATTTGCTTTTTGACATTATGCCAGGCAATAGTAATGTGGTTTCACTTAAATTGAACAGTATAATTCAATTAAAAACTTAGGTATAAATCCGAGCTCTACTGACTACTACCTGCTATGTGACCTTGAACATATTAATTAATTTTAAGGCCTGAGTTTCCTACTCTAAAAAAGGAGCTAGAATATCTTCTGACTCTAAATCCTGTCATGTTTGCTTCAGAGTTCTAGTGTCTGATGAAGAGGTAACCCTTCCCTTCAAAACCAGTCCTCCCCTTCTCTTCCCTTCTCACTATCACCTGTCCACAATGTATTTTACTCTTCTCCCCTTTAAGGGGAAAAAAAATATTTCCTTGCCCCCAGCATCCCTGAAAGCTATTGGTACTTTCTCTTTTCTCCCTTTCATAAGCAAACTCTGAAAAGCTGTCTGCACTCAGTGCCTCTGCCCTTCCTCTTAACCACAACCCAGAGCTGCAGATGATCTGTTTGCCAAGCCAAAAGACCTCTTCCCAGGTTTTATTCTTCCTTCAAGTGTCAGCTGAAATCCCACCTTCCACAAGAATCCTCTCCTAGCCTTCCTTAATAATGTTAGGGTCTTCTCTCATCCCACTCCCATTATACTGTAAACTCTTTGAGGGCTTTATCTCCTGTCTGCAGCGCTTACTTAGCCCAGGGCCTGACACATAGAAAGCACTCCATGGATGCTTTCACTTGATCTCTGCAGTATTGGAAATTGTTCACCATCCCCTGCTTCTGGATATTCTCTCTTCTCTAGGTTTTCCTCATCATCTCCTATGGTTTGAATGACCTATATATATATATATATATATATATATATATATATATATATGAAGGACTCCCACATCTGTAAATATCCAGCCTCAGGCACTCTACTGAGATTCAGGTCCCCCATCATGAACTGCCTGTTGAACATTTCAGACTGTATTTGTCTGACAGCCTTCTTAACCTCAGTGTTAGATAATCACAACTTATCTTTCCTCCACAACTTCCAAATGTCCCTATTTTTGTTGAGGGAACCACCATCCTTCAGGTACCCAGAGTCACAATCTTGAGGTCATCCACAACTTGCTTTCTGCCTTGTCCCCTCCTATATCCAATCAGTTGCCAAATATTTGCCTTCACAACATCTCTTATATCCATCTCCTTGTTTCTCACCTGGACTATTATTACAGTGGGAATGTCTCTAGTTTCCCTCATTTCAAAACCATTCTCCATGCAGCTTTCAAAATGATTCTAATGTACAGATAGAACCCCATCACTCTGCTGCTTCCAAAGCTCTAGTTGTTTTGTTTGTAGAAAAAAGCAAAAACTCCTTTATTCTGTGTTTAAGCCCTTCACAATCTGGCTCCAGCTTGTTGCACATTCTATCTTCCCGGCACTCAGCGCTCTAGCCAAACTACCCTCTTTTTGCTCCTTTATATGTGACCTTGTCATTCTCATCTGCCTGCCTTTGCACAGGGCAGACACCATTCCTGAAATACAATTGTGACTCACCTCTGCCTCTTAGAATATCTAGCTTCCTTCTAAGCTCAGTTTAAACAGTATTGTTATTCATGTGACCTTTCCTGAACTCTCATGCATTTACTCCATGGACATATTGTTAGACATATTGTATAGACTGTTGTTCTGCCCAATAGAATGTAAGTAAATGCACACAAAGTCCATGTCCTTGAGACCCTTATAATCAAATTGGGGTACCCAACCCATATGCAAAGACTTAGAAAGATTTACAAAACAATGTTTCAATCAATGTCATTAAAAGAGTACCAAGTATATATTTGCAGAAAGCACTCAGAGTTAAGACTATTCATATGGATCCCTAGGATTCCTGAAAGGTGTTTTGAACTCAGTTTCTAAAAAGGTGAAAGATATGAAATGGATAAGAATTGGCATTGCAGGTAGGGAGAAATGACAGAGTGAGAGATACAAGCTGGGGGTGAATGTGCAAGTATGGAGTCACCAGCCAAACAAGCTTCCTCAGTCTTGTAGTTTTCTTCAAGACAACCTTTCGGATAGAAACTGCAGGTTGGCTTTTGGAAATTTAAGCTTCTTTGAATATTAATCACATTACTTTTGTGGCAGAAAACTTCTGCTGTTTTTGTAATAAGTCAATTCTATCTTTTCCCTCTCTCCACCCTTTCCCATCCTTTTTTTCAGATGGTACCAAGAAATCTAGCCATTGTTTTTGGTCCAACCCTTGTGCGATCTTTAGAAGATAATATGACACATATGGTGACTCACATGCCTGACCAGTACAAAATTGTAGAAACCCTTATCCAACATGTAAGTGAGTGATTAGTCTTTGAGAAAAATCTCTTCGAATGAAAGATCATTTAGAATTAAATTTTCTCTTTCTCTTAACACAGATCTTGTCTCTCTATCCTGTCCTCCATACTAATGGCAATTTGGAGGGTTTTCTCCTCTTATTTTTTATTTTAAATTTTTAGCATGACTGGTTTTTCACAGAAGAAGGTGCAGAAGAGCCTCTTGTAAGTTCCTTTTTGCTTTTATGATTGGTTATTTTGATTTGGGACAGAGTCCTAAATTTTCAATAATGTGACCATAGTTCACCGTTTGCCCTGTTAACTCTGCATTCCAGAAGTTGGTTCCTTGCTTCTGAATGAAAATAGGAGTAGCTAACAATGTGGTACTAAGTACTGTTGTTGTTTTAAGATAAAACAGTGTGGAAAATTAAAGTTAAAAGGTCAATGGGCTTTTCTAAATGTTGTTAAAAATATAATGACATAACTTTGAAGAAATGTTGAGGGGATCTTTGTTTATTAACCATAGACAACAGTTCAGGAGGAAAACACTGTAAAATCTCAGCCAGTGCCTAACATAGATCCTTTACTGACCGACATTGGAAAGACGGGCGTATCTCCTGGAGATGTATCAGGTAACTTTGCCTGGGGTGTTAACCTGTCAGCTAGAAAAACCTACTGGCTTGTATTATAATGATAGAGCAAATAATTCATAAGTAATAATTCACTATGATTTTTCTTTTTCTCCTTTTTTTTCCTTCCACTAATGAACTGATTCTCCTTTTTCTGACTGATCTTAAGTATCTTCCAGTGATTATAATGCCATTGGCAGTGCATGGAGTTGGAATGCTTGTTGACAAGTCTGTCAGATTTGGACATAGGAGGGGAGATGAGCATGCATAGCTCTGTTCTCTTTATTCACAGTTATCCATGTAATTGTCATCACAAGGTAAAACAGATCAATGCTACTGAATATGTGGTGGCTGTGATGGCAGAAAGTGGGACCTTCCAAATGGTAAAAATCACTATCATACCCAAGGCTAGCAATGCATTTTAAAAGCACAAAGTTAAATATTTAGAACTAATGGCACTAGTTTCACCTACCTGTGTAATGTCTAGTAAAAATCAGTCTCTTCCAAGTTAGTTTCCCTATTTCTCAGCTGGTCCCCTCTTTCTCGGTGACGCTTGAGTTTTCTAGAGTCTTTTGGTGAACACTATTTTCCTGCTGTACTGCTGCACTAACCGGGCATATTGTTTCCCAACCTTCTCCCTTTGTCTCTAGTTCTTGTTCTAGTACTAAAGGGGGTTTCAGCACTTTGTGACACAGGCAAATCTATACTGATGTTGCACAACAGGCGAAACAGGAGGCGTCTATCCCGTGGTCATGTCACTAGTGGACGCTGTGGTGTCCGTGATGGACAGCTGGACCTGTAGGAAGAAGGAGGACTGTTGCCCACACTGTAGCTCCTTGTCTGCAGAAATCCCCCATTCTTGTAAATGCCAAAATAGTTGATCTGTGCTGTAAATTTTCTTTTAAGAGCATTTTAAACAGATCGATGCTACTTTCTTCAAGTTTTTCTGCTGTTTCTTTTATTTGTGAAAGCAGACCCTGAGGAGAAATAGCATGGTATGATCTACCAGTTTTTTAAGTCATAAAGCATTTAGCCATGTGTCCAAGGCGTGGCATGGGACTCAGCTCCTTAATTTTGAAAACAAATCTCCCCAAAGTTGAAAAACGAAATTTCAGAATCAGCATTCTCTTGAATGGTGCTGTTACAGTCTGACAGGTTCAGACCCCTCAAAGACTGGAGTACAGGATGAGGTCATCTGGAATGAATTCATGGACTCAAGCATTCTTTAAGTCAAGTTGGCAAAAAGTTTTTGTTACACTTTACAGTGGGCAAGGATTCTTAAGGAACCTGTGAGCTTAGAGGGGTACAGTTAAAGTTTATATAGGATAAAATACAATAAAACTTGTGCCAAATATGCTCATGTGATTCAGGGCGGGATCAGGGAGTGGTAAAAGAGTGGTCAGTTCTTAAAGGAACACGCGCTTTTGGTATCTACTGTGCAGGCATTTTACTCAGATTTCACTAGGAAAATCCCACAAGGGTGGCCACATGGAGGTGTGGTTTTAGGCCTGCTATATCACTAAGTTAACTAGAGGTCAGGGGTAACTGAGAGTTATCCAGTCTGCCACCAGTCAATGTCTTGTTTGACGAGACACATGTAGGGAGTATACACATGTCTTAGGTCTAAAATACAGATAATGAGGATTCCAGGATGTAGACAATGTTGTAGGGCAGTAGTATAGATAGTCCAGTTGGTAAGAATGTCTTCAAAATCCAGTGCAAACCAGTTCAAACTAATAATTCCTTCAGGTGCAGTTTGTAACTGCACCGGGAAAGATATGAGGGTCTTGCTGGGGCCCACTCATGAGTAATTTCTAGGCATAGTGTCCTTGGGCTGGGAGAAACTGCCAGAGACAGTGTTTCTGAGGCTAGGGGGAAACTAGGGTCCAAGCACAAGCACCCAAACACAAGCACCCCAGCACCCCATCATTCCCCCCTTAAATAAATAGAATCCAAAATCTTTTGGGGTAAGGGACGAACGTCTCAGCTTCTGAAACTGTTTCCTGCTGGGATTGGTGTAGAGCTGTCCCTGCCTCCAGGGGTCCCTCCCTTCAAGGTTTTTTTGCCAGTGTCCAGAACTTGGCCAATGCCAGGTCCAAGGGGTTATTGGGTCACAGATGCAAGTAGGGAGTGTTCTCTCAGAACAGGTGGTACAGCTGGCATAAGTAAATTTCTGGGGTCACTCATCACTGTAGGCATCCTTACAGGTGTGCAAGTCGAGACCAGCAGAAACATTTACAATCCCTCCCTGACAGGGGTCTTTACCTATAAACTCGTCACCCAAGCAAGGGAGACAAACTGAGAAACAGGGTGTTGAGATAGAAAAATTTTCCCATCAAGGAGTAGCCAGTATAAAAGGGGTGGAGAGACCTCTGATTTGGTTACATTAGGGAGGGGATTTCTTACAAAAACTGCCTTAAATGAAAGAGGTTCCTAAATTTAACCTCACAACTGAATAGATACACAATCTTTTTCCACAAACTTTTCTCACGGCAGATGACATTGCCCCCACAGATGGTTTCCAGGGACTTTGGCAAGTTTACAAAATATGGGGAATTGCCTTCACCCCATGGAGGGGCAAATCCTGGTGCCCTTGCGTGCTGATCCCCGTGTCCCAAGGAGGACTATTTTGAATGGGCAGAAGCAATCTGGAGAAGGCTTTTACCCATCCCCTGCTTTTTACACTTGGTCATCAATTCACAATTCTAAGTTTTAACATTGAAACAATAACTTCAAATAACTTAGTTAACAATCTTATTACTTTCATAAGTGATACTCAAATTATGTTAGCTATAACCCCTTCTTTAATTACAGATAAGGGTAGAAATACCTGGTTTTCTACCCCGTCTTTAATTACAGATAAGGGTAGAAATACCTGGTTTTCTAGGTTAGCACATCTGACAAAGTAATATAACTGGTTTTACACAATTTTTCCACCATCCTTTAGTTTCTTTCAGTTTACATGTTATAACATTCAAATTATGAAAACCTACTTCATATAATGATACAAAAGTTTACCAATTTGAAACAATACTACTTGAAACAAACACATTACCATTCAGGTGATTACTCGCAAGAGAATGCTTACATGCTAGCACTTTTGGTCTGAACACAGGAGATCACAGAGAGCATAGACCGGAGAACACAAAGAAAATAGAAATCTATAGATCAGATGGAGGCAGCTCCCCTAGCACCCTCCGTTTGACAAACAGACCCCTTCCTTCCATACCATCCCAATCACTTGAACAAATAAATGGCGAAAACTTCCAGAATGTCAACCAAAATGATACTCTTATACCTGTTGCCAATCCTCAAAAACCATCCCTAACCCCAGGAACTAAATCAGTTTCATCAGTGTCTCTAAACTGGAGGGATGAGTCCACTACAGCCACTCAAAAGCTACTGTCCAATAACTCTGTACATATGTTTCTGTACTAGAATTGCTATTATGCAGCCTTCATTTTGGGCTGGTTTCATCAATGTGCACTGTGGAATGTCTTCACCATGCATTTCTATGGCCAGAAGAACATAAAGTTGAGAAAAATATGTGTACACACACACACACACACACACACACACACACACACACACACACACACACACGATGGTTGCATGCAAATAAGCAAGGTATTTGTTGCAACATGCTGTGTAATCTATACAAGGGTTTTGACCAGAAATTGACGAGTAAAACAGCTGGCATTAGTACTCAGCTAATTTGTTCTTTTGGCTTAGTCACTAACAAAAGTGCCTCATCATAACAATTCATTGGGTTTCTTAGGGTGCCATATTGTTAACTGCTAAATTAGAAAACTTAAAATGAACAGATGAAAGCATTTTATTGGTAATATTTCATTACATATTACTGATTTTAACACAGGTGGATACAGAGCTTCCACTCCTTAGGCATTCCAGTGGGATCTCTCAATTTCATATTCAAATTTTTCATACAGTTTTTGAGTTTTGTGTAATTTGAATTTTTAATCTTTCTGTAAAATAAGTAACTTAAATGAACATATTATATGTGTATCTTTTCTTCAGATACCATATTTGTTATAAATGTTGTAACATAGGCATGTAAGTAGTGAATCCTGGATGGAACTGGCTTATTTTAGGGAGAATATAATTCTGCATGAAGACTTAATGAATCCAAACCTGTGTCCTACCTGTGTGCATACTCTATTAAACACTGTAAATAAAATTGTTTTTGTGAACTTTTTGCACGGTTCAATATCATTCTACTGTGTCATTTTCAAATGCCACTTATAAATTGTAGTCAGCATGTGCTTATGATAAATAGTAGTTAGCTCTGGCTTAAGAAAAAACAAACAACAGAATGATTATTTCTGTAATCTAGAAGAAAAATACTTTTGCTCTAGATTTGCCAAGCAATATGTTTTCTTATCCCTGTTTGTAGTCAGCTGGTCTCTCTCAGTCTAGTATGTACACATTCAGTCATAAGAGTATCTGACACAATCCTCCACACACCAGTCTACCCACTCTATATACAAAAGATGGCCACAAATCATTCTTTTATCTGTAGGGAGCTATATTTAGAGCAATTTATTAAAGCTTGAATTTTGTTTCATATTGATATCACATGAATTTCCTAGGAAATGCATCTTCTTTTGTTTCTATGTAGATAATCCAAAGGGTAATGCACTTTGCAAGTCTGGATCTAAGTTTCCTCCTTGTAAAAGGTTCCTTCTAGCCTCTAGACTGGAGATCTGGGAATTTAAAAAAAAAATATTTTGATAACTGTATTCCAACACAACGAGTTTCCTTTATAATGTTACGTATTTTATTTTACATACTTAAAAACATTTTTAAAAAGAAATGTTCATGGTAGGCCTCAAACTGCTGCAAAAGGGGAAAAGGTTAAAAACTCAGGTTCTAGATCAAGTATCTTATGACCTGAACCCAATGGAAGAAGAGAGCCACAAAGAAGGAATTGTTCACCCAAGACTAATTCAGAAGCTAAAGCTTACATTTTTTTAATGACCAAATCTTGTTTTATTGTATGTATAAAGAGTATTAATCAAATTTCAGAAGCAACGTTTAATAAGGAAAGCTATTTCACTGTATTCTTTACTTTGTAAACACTCCTAGGATACAGATATAATCAATAGCTAATAAATTTAGTTCATCTTGCATGTAGATTTTTTTCTGCATGTTACCTTATAAAAAATAAGAAAATCCTAAGAAACTGAGGCAATACCATAAATGTAGCTTTTTAAAAAAATCTGTCAAACTTCCCATGGTGTGGTAGTCTAATAATTAGTCCAATCTACTACGCCACAGGTGAGAGACTTTTTTTTTTCATTTTTTCATAAAAATGACAAAAACTACTTCAAGAAGTCTTTGTCAGGCAGAATATCATCACAAATGTTAGGAATAATATGTATGTGTGTGTCTTTGGGTACACACATATAGACAAATAGACATATATATGTGTGTGCATATATATGCATCTATGTATATATACACATGTATGTATATATGTATATGTATGCATGTGTGATATATATACATATATATATATGTGTATATATATATATATATATATATTATATATATATATATATATATATATATATATATGTAGTATGGGGGAAAACTGCATTTTCACCGAGAATATATATGCAGAAATATATTCATATTCTTTTATATTTTCCTTTTTTAAAAAAATGAAACAAAAGATTATTGTACCTGCTTGTTGTAAGCTGACAACCTGTTCACCCACAACTAATTCAGCTTTTGAGTAGTTTTCTTTAATCTTATCTATTTACATTGAAATTGATAAAC